TCTCGAGATGTGCTATAAGAATATGCAATGAAAAATGGGGTGTTCCATTTAAAAAAATTAATGTGACCTTGACCTGACCTTCGCTACGCAACCCAAGGTCAAACTGATGTGATCAGTAAATACATCTTTTTAAACGCCACAACTTTTATCTGAAACATTTTTTTCTAAAATGCTTAGTTTTCGAGATATTTCACCGGTCCGGGACTTTTTGAACACCCTGTATATATATATATATATATATATATATATATATATACTAGGTGCGCAACTAAGTTTTCGAGTTTCTTTGATCAATGAAAAATGGAAAATTTCAAGAGAAATACAAAAATTATTTATTCAAAGTATCATTCCTCGCTAGCTACACATTTTTGCCATCTCTCTGGCAACACATGAATACCGCGACGATAAAACGACGCTTCTTTGGACCGAAACCATTCATCCAACCAATTTTCCACTTCTTCGAAATTGGCCAAGTGTAGCCCAGCCAAGCCATGCGCTATCGACCGAAACAAGTGATAATCGGAAAGGGCCAGGTCTGGTGAATACGGTGGGTGCGGTATCAGATCCCATTTCAGCGTTTTGATGGTGTCCTAGACGATGGAAGTGCGATGGCACGGAGCGTTGTCGTGCTGCAATATCACTCGTTCGTGTCTCGTGTCCCATTCTGGCCGTTTTTCGAGCAATACATGGTTCAAATTGATCAGTTGTTGTCGGTAGCGATGCCCATTGACAGTTTCGCCCGGTTTCAGCAGCTCATAGTACATGATTCCTTTCTGGTCCCACCAAACGCAGAACATTCTTCTTTCCGAAGCGATTTGGCCGTGCCGTCAATGTTGATGCTTCGCCAGGTGAAAGCCACGATTTTTTGCGTTTGGGATTCTCGAAATATATCCACTTCTTATCGCCAGTAACAATTCGATGCAAGAAACTCTTTCTTTCATGCCGCAAAAGCAAAATTTCGGAAATGGCTCTTCGATTTTCCATCTGTCTCTCAGTTAACTCATGCGATACCCATTTTCCTTTCTTTTGAATTTTTCCCATGGCATGTAAACGTTTGGAAATACCTTGGCGAGTCATGTTTCATGCCTCCGCAAGTTGATCTTGTGGTTGCGTATCATCTTCATTCAATAACGCTTGCAGATCGGCGTCCTCAATTGTTTTTGTTCTTCCAGAGCGCTCCTTGTCCTTAGTGTCGAAATCGCCACTTCTGAAGCGTTTAAACCAATCTTCACAGATAGTTTTCAATGGTGCATGTTCACCGTAGGCTTCCTCAAGCAAATGACGTGCTTCAGCTGCATTTTTTTTTTTCAAGTTAAAGCAGAAAAGCAAAGCTTCCCGCAAATGCTGTTTATTTAGCACAAAATTCGACATCTTCATTGTTAGAAAAAATATATTTGCGTTGCGATATGTGTTGGTATTATGACTGGTTATTGTTGTATTGACAGATGTCCAAGCTATAAAAGAAATACAACTTTAGACATGTGTGTCGACTACATGTGTCGTTAGCG